CTGGAGCTACCTAGCTGTTCCGGTGATCTGAACGTCAGAATGGGTTGCTGCCAGCTTCCTCCGAAAGTCAAGCGCAATGGCGTCCCCTGACGCACCCCCTCCCGAGCCAAAGCCGCAGGGAGGCCCCTCAAAAGCTCCCAGGTATCCCAACCCTCCCGAAGTGAAGCCGCCGAAGTGGGCAAATCCCCCGGAAACGGAGATTCCTGACCCGACAACGCTCCGGGAGCAGTGGAGATATGCGCAGCGGATGTATGGGCGCTTGTACGGGCAGGCTTGGGGAACGGCTATCATTGCCGGGGTGGGGCTCTATGCAATAGGCTATTGGTGGAAAGGGAGCAACCCATTGCTGCCGAGCCCGAGTAAGAAGGAGGAGAAGAGAAGTAGCTGATCTGGCGGAAAAGGGAAGGGGTCAGAGTAGGGGGGCAACCGAGAGGGGGAAAGGCAGCCACCCGGTTTCAAGCTTTTGTCACTCTGTGCCTGTTGGAAGAATCTGGTTTGATGGGGCTCCTGGAAATGGTTGGTTGAGTGGTGGTGTAAGTAAGGGACTAAATTTGGACATTGAGTCTAAGGCCAGGCTGTGCATGGCACCAATTGGTGGCTCGCAAAGCGGAACCCATACACGTGCTTCAGAATGCGAGGCAGCAGAGTCTGTCATTTCAACCAAAGCGCCACCCAAGCCCGTCGCGTACTATTGTCAGGACTTTGCCTGGGAGGAGCTTCAGAAAGTGGTGGAGAGCAATGCTGCTTTGTCGCATGCTTGGAGCAGTTCAGTTGAAGACGATCTTGCAATCAGCAACAGTACATATCATTCTCATGGAGCGAGAGAGCAATGCCGAGAGTCAAGTTTGGAGACGAGGCGAAGCAGCAGTGGTGTGAATAGGAGTGGTCTCATTGGGACGGCTGGGACAGCTCTGCCTCATGAGCACGCGTGGGAGGGTTTTCACACCAAGCACACCACCGCGCGGTTCTTCAAGGAGCGGCGCTACCTGTTGGAGGAGTTTCCAGAGCTCAAAGCAGGGCGGCTGAAGATTCTGGAGGTGAGTAGCATGCAGTAAATCCTATCATGTTATTGGTCGAGCCTTCAACTGACCTCAGAAAAAGATGCTGCCTGCGTAAAATCCTGCAGAGAAGAGGGCTTCTCAGCTTTCTGTTTGTAGTAACCAATCTGCTTTTATAACGTTGATTTTCCTTGGTATGACGTAGGAAGTTCTTTGCGGCATCTTAAGTGCGTCAAACAACAGCTTTATGCTTTTTTATTACATCCTTCAGGAGCCTGCATTCGTTTTCCACATTTTGGATCCAGATTGATGGAGAAAGAACAGACAATGAGACGCTCTTGTCAAGTGTGGATTATTTGATGATACTCACTTGGGGAAGAGGTCGGCCTAAAAGCATGCAGAGTGATAATGCCCTCTTCTGTTGGCAGAGGACGCGTGCTTGGCCTCCTCATGCACGAAAGGCACACAGTCTGCACAATCATTGCCTCACTTCGCTGTGCCTTGCTCGAATTCTGCTGCCAAACCTACAGTATCAGGAGCTTCGCAGTTGACTCGCGAAGCGACTTTCCATTAGAGCTGTCCGCTCAACCATCTCTTAACCCACCTTTCGCAGGTTGGGTGCGGCAGTGGCAGCACGGCGATTCCCCTCCTAACCGGAAACCCCCAAACCCTACTGCATGCCTGCGACTGCAGCCCCACTGCTGTGGCCCACACCGCAGCCGCCGTTCAAAGGGCGATTGGGAGCCTCGAAGCTGCCCGGAGGTTTAAGGGGTTCTGTTGGGATGCCGCTTTGGAACCCTGCCCTTTACTGGGGAGGGTACGATTGGAGGGTTTGCAGGAAACAGAAGGTTTGGAGGAGACTGAGCGAGGGAGGGGGGGTTTGACAGCGGTGGCAAGCGGGGCTGACAATGGGCGGGCGGAAAGAGGTGGGGTGTATGGAGAAGCAATAAGAGGGGCGAATGTGGACCTGCGAAGCAGCGGGAGTGGTGGCGAGGCAAGCGGGATTTGGTTGGGCGTGGGAGAAAACGAGGGGATCAGAGAGGGGGTGTGGGGGGCAAGCAGGATTGAACTGGGCCAGCAAACCATTGGGGAAGGAAATGCTGAGAGGGAGTGCGGGCAGCAGTCGGGATTAGTAACAGTCCGGGCAGCGAGCATGGGCGGCTGCGCAGGCGATTGCGATGCAAAGAGGCCTTGTACAGAGAGCGACGAGCATGCCTGTACTATAGTCGACCCTGCTGAGGGGCAGGCAAGTGTACATACAGAGTGTACAGTAGGGGGCGGTAGAAACGAGCCAAGTAGCCCTCCGGGTAGAATAGGTGGGCCCAAGGAACCGGGTAGCCTTAGAGCAAATTGTTTGTGCGAGGAACTAGAAGTGGGAGGATTAGGGGATAGTGAAAGCGGGGCCGACCAGGTGGGAGAGAGCAGTGTGCTGCAGCGGGGGCTGAGTGACGCGGTACTTGGGCCAGGAGACGGGTTCGACTTCGTCACGCTGGTAAGGGTGCCATCCTTCCATTCTTTTTTCTGACTCTGCAAAATTATCGGCAGTCCTAGAATGGACAACGCGAAACCGTGTTTGCTTTGAATAGGTCCTTGCTGATTAGTGCAGACAGGGCAGGTTGGATACACGTGTTCTTCCAGACACTTGAGCACCCAGGACCAAGCTGGACTTCCCTGTTTAGTTTTTAAGCGGGTAACCGCTGTCGAAACAAAATCTTGCAATTATGCTCGAATGCTTTCCTTATCGGCAGGAACCTCTGGCGCCACTCTGCTGTGCTTTAGTTAGAGACGATCATGGTGCCACTTCTTTCATCAGACCGAGATCTTTTGCGGAAAGAGTAAGTTTGGGCAGGCACTGTGCAATGGGCGAGTTTGGAGGTTGGAATGAGGAGTACGAAGGTCGGTTATAGTTGCTGCATTTGTCTTGGCCCCAGAAAGTTGCTGCTTTTCTTTCGGGCCACTACCTTTCCTGCGTTGAACAAGCAGAAGCTTGCACGAGTGAAGAGGCTCGTTCAAGCAAGGCACCAGACTGCGAAGCAGAGTCTCAAGGCTGCTGCTTTTTCAGATCGGAACCTCTCATCTGTTCAGCAAGCTTTCACTTATGTCTCCTGCCATTCCGCAGATCTTCACGCTGTCTGCGGTTCACCCCGATCACATGCCCTCGCTGCTGAGAAGGCTGCACCAGCTGCTGCGCCCAGGAGGGGCGATCCTCTTCCGAGACTACGGTGAGGGATGATCATTTCTAACCTCAAATCAGGCACACCATCCTACGTGGATGGTGTTCAGATGGACTCAAAGCGGAGGGGAGTTCCAGTAGTTTGGCTTCGTCTATGCCCACCCCGCGACCGTGCAGTGGCCATGCTGGGCTCCCTTGCAGATTGTACAGGACCCGAGCTTTCACTTCTAACGCCACAGGACGCTGCTGCGTGCCCTCCCCCAACTCGTATCTAATCGCCAGTCCTCAATCTTCTTCCTGAAGGGGATTGCTTGTTTGAACGTACGGACTGCTCTCAGGTATCGTTTCCTGTACTTGTTTGATACGATCTCCTTACCCTGTTTCGTTCGCCTCTTTCCCCCGCCTCAGTTCCCCGCTTTCTTCCCCTCTCCTATCTTCAATGCTCTGAATAAAGGACTGCTTTTCTTTCACCCCCCCCAGGCCTGTACGACATGACCATGCTGCGCTTTCCCCCCGGCCAGAAGGTGGGCGACCGGCTGTACCGCCGGCTGGACGGCACGCTCTCCTACTTCTTCTCCAAGGAAGCGCTCGCGCAGCTGGCCACCCAGGCCGGATTCACAGTAGTAAGGCAGACTCGCGGCATTCTGAGTTCGTACCCTTTGCTTTGGTACTTTTTGCTTCTCCTGCGACCCAGGCGGGACTCCCAGTGGTGAGGCAGACCCTCGGCTTTCGAGTCTTCACCCTTTGCTTTGATGGTTTGACTCCCTTTGGTCCAAGACGCGCAGACTCTGACAAAGATTTCGATCGTAAAACCCTTGGCATCTTTTGGGGCGTCCATCTGATAATGCGATTCATTCGCAGCAGTGATCGGTCAGTACTTTGTAACTTGCTGCAATGGAGGACGACTCAGTGTTGTCCTGAAGTCTGTCATCATTTGAATAATCGAACAGGAGAACTCTGTTTTCTGACTCGGAAATCCCTTGCATACGGTTGCTTGAAAGATGTGAAGCTACGCAGCTGGGCTTACCAAAAGCCTGGCAGTCTGATATCATCCCGTCTAGTGGGCAGTTGCACTTGATGGCGAGGAAGGCAAACGAATGCGTTGGCAATGGCAGTTGCTGTATGCTGAGCCAGTCTTTCGCCTGAAGCTCTTAACTTTTGCCCAATTGTGGACCCCAATCTCTCACGCCCTCCTGCTTTAAGGTCTTACGCTGAGCATCGGGTCTTTGCCGTTCCTTAGGTTGCATGCCGAGTGCAGGATGGAAAGGTATCTACGGTCTTACCATCAGCCTCTGTGCCGGCTTCTCTTGAGACAAAGTCCGCAAACGAGCGCTCCGCTGAATCAGTCGCTGCACGGCAAGGCTGGGACCAAGTTCGGAATTGCCATATGTCCGTGTTGGTTAAAAGAACGTCAAAACCTATTGCTAAAGTATACAGGCGCCTCTTTTCCTTTTCGCGTGCTGCGACGGAATTTTGGGGAGCCTGTTTTGGCCGTTTGCCACGCTTCTTGTCTGGGTCCTCTCTTTCTGTCTCTCTTTTTCTGTCTTGCTCCCGACCTGCATCTTGCTGGGTTGTCTCGTTTACAACAGCACGTTTTGACAGTGGCGTGCGAGAATTGTTCTCGAACGAATGAAATGTAGGGTGCCAACTCAATCGTCATTTCCTGTATCCACTTAGTTTGCACGTCTTTCCGCTGTGGCATTTCAGTTTCTGATTCAATCCTCAAACGGCATCGGAAATTTTCGAGACAGAAGCTCCTGGGCCTAATTGAGATGAAGTAGAAGCTTCCGCTGCACGGCCTGGAGCCTTGTGAGGGCACTCGGCCAGCCGACGGAAAATGCTTGCGTCCGTCATCTCTTACCTCGGATCCAAAGGAGACAGTATGGCTACGAAGAACCAGTAGAATGAAGCAAACGTTTAGCTTCAAACTCTGTTGGATGTTTGAGTATCTGGAGCCAGGTAATCCATTGTATGCGCGCTATACCCAATCCTGACCGAGCTTCATAAGCAGTGTTGCGCTGGATCCCTGCCATTTGCAAAGCATGCGGGAAAACCCCGGCCCTTGAAAATTGTTTTCCCGACCCTTGAAAATCACGTTTACTTACATTGATTAGCCCTTTGCATTAGCCTGGATGGATGAGCTTTTTCTGATGTGTCAGTAAAGGACTTCTAGCATCTGGTGGATTTCAATATGTCTCTCTGCGTCTCTCCTCGTCTCCTTGTCGTTTGCCCCTCTTGTTCCCAATGACGATGTGTAAGTGCTGGCCCCTCGAAAAATTCTGAAAGGCCAGCCCTTTAGGTCCTTTGTCAGATGGGAACTCATCGCTGGCTGACTCGCTGCCTACATCGCAGCAAACAAGAAGTCAAATTGCTGCACGGTGGATTGTTTTGCGTTCATGAGAAAGCAAGCTTGGGTTTTCAAAACTTCGAAGAGTTCCTCCTGATAACTTCGAGTCTTACGTCTGACAATATTGCGTTCAGGGTGCTTTTAGCGATCAACACGAATGTCATAGCTTCTTTGAATCAATTGTGTTTGTGGGTGTCACCGCTTTGTATAGCAGTGATTCTGGGCCTTCGTTTGCCATGTCCATGCGCACGTCAACAAATTCGACATAGTTGCGGTGCGCTCTCCGCGTGAACACAGTTCGTGAAGAAGCCTCTTCTGAATGCTCAGAACGAGTCGATTTGTTCGGCGCTTTTATTAATTAAGGTTTCCGACTTCTGCTGGTCAACATACTCTTAACGCAAAGATTGCATGGTCAACATACTCTTAACGCAAAGATTGTAGGTTTAGAGGACGTCATGCGAACGGTGTGTCCCCCAGGAAAACAGTCGAGCTGAGTGGGCGAGCTAGTCCTTGCTTTAGAGGTAGCTCTTTCATTCTTTTTTTCCGTTTGCAAGCGACGGTGCTGTCGATCCGTCTGTGTCGAGTCTGGCGTTCGTATATTGAGTCATTGTGATAAGCTTTTTGACTCGCTTGCTTGTTGAACTGTGCCTGGTCCAGACGCAAGTGTCATCAACTGACACGTCGGTCTCTGCCCTTCCTCCTGTGTAGTGCACTAAAAGTTAATGTTCAATTCCAGCGATGTTTTGCGGCTCTATTCTTGCGAGTATTGGCGTTCGTCAATTGCTTGCGTGGTGGCGTATTTAGCCAGGTTCACTGAGAGAAGTAGCGTTACTGACACAAAAAGCAGAGTGAGTGCTCCTGGCGGGGCTTGCGGGGCTGACACGTGTTATTCTGTTATCTTGTTATCTTGCTATCTTGTTATCTTGTTATCTTGTTCTTTGTACTATGGCCTTGGATGGTGCTTGCAGCCATTCGTGGATACGCAATGAAAATCAGTCCTGGAAAATCTGGTTCTTATACGTTGGGTTGCTCCCTAGAGTATTTTCTGAGTCATGTACAGCCGTCGCTCGATGAATGGGCGTCTGACCTGATCGAGCCATCTACGCTCAAACCGCTCCCCTTTTCTCTTTGGAATATTTCAGACTTGTACGAGCCTCTTGTCATAACCAGCAAGGCAACCTGGTATTATTCATCGACCAGTCTGCATTGCTACTAAAGTCATCTGATGGGCTGCAGTGCATAAGAGGACTGCTCTTAAATTGCTCTGCAAATGTGTTCCGTCTCGTTGTCTTTCACCGTGTGATTATGTTGAAACCCGGTTGTGAGTAAAAGGGTAGGTATGCGTGTACTCGACCTCTCATGATCGTCGTGGTGGCCATGACAACAAAATATTGGCAAGCAGGAAGCGCTGCCATCGACACCTTCCACGTGAACGAGGATGCCATCCTCTTCTTCTCTCCTTTGCTTTGACCCAAGCTCTCATTGTTCGGCAGTTGCGGGGGAATCCATTATGACTGGGCGGACTGTTCTACGTAGCAGTGATGAACAACATGTTTCACAGTTTGTCTGAACTCCGTGAAGACACAACACGCTGCTTGAATCTGAGCTACGCAGCATCATCTGCCCTTCCCCGTCAACACCTTAGGTAAACGAGATGGCTTCTTTGTGGTTCAACTTCCTCAACTGCCGAAATAACAAGGGGTGACGAGGAATCTAACGCATGTGGTGCAACAATGCAAAAAGGAATAATGGTCTCTGCTGCAGGTGGACTGCGAGTACTGCTGCGTGACCCTGGTCAACAAGCGGAAGGGGATCCAAATGAAGCGGGTGTGGCTGCATGCGCGGCTGCAAAAGTGAGCCCCATTAGTGTGCTGATAAGAGGAACGATGTAGTAAAGAGATTCCAAAACGCTACACGCATTGTAAAGTTTACAACAATCGAAGGCGCTTGCAGCCCCTTTTCCAACGAGTGAAACGTGCGGCTCACTTGCTTAAAAGGGTTGATCGAGATGGACTGAGAAGCATGTCGTGCCCAGCATAAAGTTCTTGGCCCGGCATTCAGTTCTTGGCCCCAGAATGTCTTCAAGGCTTACACACGAAGTCAACCTGTGCATGTTTTTTCTGCTGCGGACGGCCATGTCATTGTCAACTACGTTTCGGCAGAGACCTGTGTTGCGTGGACTTCCGTGAATCATTCTTGCTTCCGACTTCCTTCAGATCCTGGTCAAGGCCGTCTGTACGACTGAGGCAGCTTGACAGGCTTTTATATGTGAATTGACCCAGAGTCCAGTCTGTTCCTTCTTTCGACAGCCAGCTATTACTTCGTCTTTGTCTTGAGAGCTTCTGTGCTTTGCATTCGGACAGGGGCTCGGAATATATCATGGCAACGCTTTTTCCCCCCATTGTCGTTTCTTGTCAATGGATTGAAAAGGTTGGAAAAGCATTGCCTGGAAATGAAGCACTTTTTGCTGTGAGCGTTTTGCTCTTGTCTGGTGTCTGCACACACGACCGCTCTGAAAATATTGTTGCTGGCTTTCTTATGCCCATCCGTCCGAAAGCTCTCACCGTCCGCAGCAACTCTGACGGATATTCTACTGGATATCTCCTCTTGCATCTGTGATTGCGTCCTGTTAATGGAACTAAGTGTGGCCGTTTGCCCATTTTTTACCGGCCGTAAACGGAGGTGTTCAGCATTCACCCCTACGAAGGGCATCCGGCACTTTAGGTGGAGCAGCGTTGACAGTTCGTGTTAACTTTCTTGTTCGCTTGCATTCTCAAGCAAAGGGACTGACTCACCTCAAGCTCTCGTCTAAGGCAGTCCCTGTACCATTACTTGTTTTTAAAAGGACACAATGATGAGTTTTTAGTTCAAATCTTCTTTTTGCTCAAACGTGGTTGTGTTTTTTGTTCATCTGGCAAGGATAACGTCGAAGTCTGGCCAGCACGGATTGCTGCCAGAGCTTGATATGCCGGCGCTTTGACTGCCAGCATCCTCGAATGAACCTAGCCTAAGATCGGCACTTCTGGCGTTGTCTGCGCTGCAGATCGACCTTGCCAATTCTGCTCTGCTGGAACTTCTGTAGATTGCTTGAGACGAGTACGTCCTTTTCTCAAAACCGTCCGTTTCATGGTCACGCGTTTGGGTTCCTCGTGAGTTGTTTACTAGTTCTGCAACTTTCGATGCTTTTTGCGTTCCATTTTGCGACGCTATGTCTAGCTGCTGGCCCGTGTGACTATGATGAAAAGGACACGAGCAGATATTGAAGGGCACGTAAACCCTTACAAAAGCATTTCCCTTGTCGGTTGGTCCTGCGGTCGCATAGACAACGCTTATAAGACATAAAAAAACTTGCGTTCGCATACTGTCCCCTAGGTTTGCAGTACCAGTAGACAATACTCCGGGACTCTTCGTCTCTCGTCGGCAACGATCGCAGAAGTATAATGGCAGAAGCGTTGTCGGGGCTTTCTTCGTGTTGAGCCGGTCGGTCCTGCATGTCTCGTCAATCTGAGTCGGGACTGCTTGATGCCAGCTGTCGGCCTAAGATCCATAGATAATGCTTTTTTCGAAGGCTTCCTACTCCAGTGACGCGTGCTATGACTCTGCTACTGCCCTTCCCTCCGCCTCGCGCCTGCAACCCCACCTGCATTCTCTGCTGCGTCTTTGTTAGACTACTAAGGTCCGACAAGGAGGCGACAATATGTTGGCTGGCTCTGACATCGCCGCACCCGCAGCTCTGATCGTTCTGTGCCGCATGATGGGCACTCAACGACTTTCAGTCACGAGTCTTTCCTTCGATGTCAGCACCCTTTGTCAACTCTGGGTACCCGGCCGGGTTGTTTCGGTTGGCTCTAACAGTGAATTCCGCAAGGGATGGTTTCTGGTGTAACCCAGCGTCCGTCGAAGGGCCATGCGAAGGGCATGAGAGTGGCTCGTGGACGCCTCACATTTTCAGAGGTTTGTAAACAGCACGTCTTACAGTCCTTGCTTAACACAAGGGCTATATCTCCGACAAAATTTTGATTGCTTTGCAAGTCTTGGCATTTTGTTGCACGGATCCGATCCAGAAAGGTTCGCAACGCTCTGCCTCGTTGCAAGGTTCGACATTCTTTTCCAAATGAACCTCTGTCCCCAAGTTAACAACACTGGCCGTGACAGTACATTTTTGTGGGGCCATAAAGCAGCCTCACTGCTGGTGACATTCGATCGAGCCAGGCATGAACGACTTGAGTTCAGTAGACCCCAACTGTCTTTAAGAAGCGATGCAGTAAGAACGCACTGCCGCTGTGGGGAACCAACACTGTCAACTGAGCGGCCATCAGGAATCGTCACAGGATAAAGAAGCCGGCTCGCAGGAGAGGTTGTAGCAGCAAATTTTCATCATCTTGATCGCCCGCCCGCATTTCCTACTTCTCCGTCTTTCTTTTTGTTGTCGTCTGACCAATCTTGCCAGGTTAATACTGATGACGAGGTGTTAGATCGATCGTCCTTGATGACGTATCTGAAGTCACCCACCGCGTTAACCACAAGGGGGGACCTCCTTGCGTCAGCCATTCAGAGCAGCGAACGGTCTGCAAACACTTCGCGAAGGTGCTACTCTTTCGATTGAGGGGTGCGGACGCCATCTTTGAGTCGTTCATCCTTCCACTCCTTCTGGCTTTCAGCTTTCAGCAGTCACTGGGTTGTTGCGACTTTTTTTTGAATGGGCCGACGGTGCTACGTAGCGGTGATGAGCAGCTTATTTCACAGTTTGTCTGAACTCCGTGAAGACACAACCAAAACTCTTTCTTTCTCTGAGTTACGTAGCATTCTTCACCTCCTCCGTCAAGGTCCTGCTTACACTTCTGCCGATTTTTGCTGTTTGTGAACAAGTTGAAAGCTCTTTGCTAACACATCTGCATAAGTATGTCTGACGTATTCGGGACGCAACTGCTCTCGTGCAATGCCATGTACTAATTACCGAATGGTTGTGAAAGACAGGATTGTTTGCCTGCGTGCTGTTGCAAAAGAATCTTTCTTTTGCCTGCAGGTGGACCGCGAGTACTGCTGCGTAAACCTGGTGAACAAGCGGAAGGGGATCCAAATGAATCGGGTGTGGCTGCAAGCGCGTTTGCGTGCTGCTGCAAAAGTGAGGCTTCGTAGTTTGCCGGTTAGAGACACGAATCAAGTACAGACAGAAAACCCAATAGCTGAGACCATTGTACAGAACACGAACGCTAAAGCGATGGAAGGGGCTTGCAGCCTTTTTTTTCGAAACGAGTGACATGTGCGGCTCGTTTGATCGAGATGGACGCATAAGCATGGGTGCGTAGCCTGGAGTCCTTGGCCTGGCCCATCTTTTCTTCGTGGCTTTTTTAGGAATTAACCTGTGCATGTTTCTTCCGCTGCCCAATGATTAAGTCAGTGGACGATCGTGCCATTGTCAATCACCCTTGTTCTAAGAGACCGGTGTTGCTTGGACTTCCGTGGATCATTCTTGCTCCTGATTTTCATTCAACATCCTGGGCAAGAAAACATGTACGACTGAGGCAGCATGACAGGCCTTACATGACCCTTCCACATTGGAATTGAGTTGGGAGTCCAATCTGTTCCTTCTTCTGACAGCCAGCTGTTATTTCGTCTTTGTCTTGAAAGCTTCTGAGCTTTGCATGCGGACTGGGGCTCGGAATGTTCCACAGCGACGGGGTTGTTTTTGTCTGTTGTTGTTCGTGTCATTGAATTGGATTTGTTGGAAGAGCGTTGCCTGGCGCTAGGTTTGATTTGGGGATGAAGCCTTTCCCGCTGCGCCTGGTTTGCTCATGTCTGGTGTGGTCTCACGTGACCCTTTATCCGCAACCCTCTGAGCATTTTGATACTGGTCTCTCGGTTGCCCATCTGTCGGAGAAGTCCACACAAGTGCAGCATCTTTGACGGGATTATGAGTGAACGTCTCCTCTTGCTTTCGTCATTGAGTCCTCTTTATGAATTAAGTGCTGCTGTTCGCCCATTTCTTAGCCGCCGTAAACGAGGAGTTCAGCATGCACCCCTACGGAATCAGTCGAAATTTATTCGGACAGCTTTGACAGCACGTACACACTCTGTAGAAGCCTTCTTCTTTTTGCATTCTCGAGCAAATTTGACTTAGTCTCCTCGTGGAAGGACAAAAAGAAGTGGGAAGGCTGGTGAGTTCGGTGTGTCGTCTTGTCAGCCACCGCGCTTTCTGCTAGCTGATCCTAAAGGTCAGGGTTTTGCAACAGGCCTGCTCGCACGAATCCGCGCTAGAACATGCTGACAGAGTGATATTGACAGTTCGCAGATTGAGTTTGTGCCTTGCGTCCATGCTAGGGCCAATGTTTGTTCGCTCAAGCATCATGCTCGAGCGAAAAAGCCTTATTTCGACCTCTTTTTAAAGTACATCTGGTAGATGTGCTCACGTTGCGCAAAAGAGCGACGTGCATCAATCTCTCCATTAGAACGACCTACATAGAACGAAGCGGTAGGGACTTCAGCAATTGGACGAAACCGATAATTTTTGCTGACTGTTAAAACCTGTCTTTTTCCAAACGGGGTTCATTATTTTTATCAGTTGGCAAAGATAAGATGAAACTTGGCAAGCACATGATGCGCTGCCAAGTGGTTGTCTCCGATCTTGATTGCCAGCTATTCCAGATTAGTTCAATTGGCTCTGCTCGTATTGTCTGCGTTGCATATTGAGCTGTTTGTTTCAGTTTTGTTTCAGCTTTGCTGCAGTTTCTTCTGCAGATTGCTTGACACAAGGACGTACAAGCTTTACTCTATCAGGACGTCCAGCTCCAGTCACGATCTTCTCTTGATTACAAAATCTGGTTTCCTTAGGGGTGTTGAACGTAACTTCAGGGATTTTTACTGGTCCCTTTCTTCCACGTACGACGTTTGTACCTAGCTGCTGGCCCGTGTCTATGCTGAAGGAAACCACGAGCAAATCAGCTCAGTACGTAGCTGTCAGGAAATCACAGAAGACTCTTCGATTGTCGATTGGTCACGGGGTATGCATATATAGGCAACGCTAGCGCTTAGTAGGAGCAGTACCATTTAGTCAACGAAGCTTTTGGTCCTTGATATGTTGTTTAACGACGCAGAAACATGACGGCAAGGGTAATTAATGTCAGGTTTCCAATTAAAGTACTGAGCCGGCTCCCACTATCGACTTCAATTGTCCAGGTGTTGAAAGTGCTCGACGCCAAATGCTGACACTCGCACATCCACGGAATCTCGTTTGTTCCAAACCACTTCTTGCTCTGCTTACGACTCGTCTCGCAACTCCCCTTACACCTCGCGGTTGCCCTCCTCGTGCGTGCGATCCCACTTGGTTCCTCGTCTGCATAAGCGGAATACTGTCAGATGACAAGCCGGCACTTTGTTGGCTGGGCCTTCTGCCAAGACGTCGCCGGAGCTGCAGTCTTATCGATCTGTGCCGCGTTGTGGGCACTTCTCCCGGTTCTCACCGGTCTTCTCTCTTGATATTGCAATCTTTCCTTTTATATTGTTTCCAAGATTAAAGTGCTTTGTACGCTTTTGATTGTGAGTATCCGTCTGCGGATACCCAATTTTGAACATTCGTTTGAGTATCTGTCACTCGGGAGCCGCAGCCCGTTTATTGAAGACAGTACTGTTCGTGAAATGTCAAGTGGATGGGGCCATGTTTCAGGCCTCAGGCCATGCGTTGAACTCTAGCCAGCAGAGTCGACTTTATCTCTTGTTCCGAGTTGGCTCGCCAATTTTCTAAGAGCAAGTGTTGTGAAAAGGCGTTGCTGTTCTGCTGTTTGTGGCGCCAAACGAGCTAAAACATCAAGGTTAATTGCATGAAAGAGAGCGGTTCTCAATTTGAGCAGAGGCGAGCTCTTTTTCAACGTTTCCTTCGTTGCCCGCGCTCGTCTCCTCCTCCTATATTTCCGTTTGCCTGTCATCTGCCTACTTTCGCAACGCTGATCCACACGACGGGAGTGCTGGTCCGGCCCCTGGCGGCATCTAAGAAGGCCAACCAATAGTGTGACAGGGAGGCTCCACACTTTCTTGCCTTTGCATCAAAGCAGCCGTTGGGTCTGCAAGCACTGTGCAGAAGTCGCCAGCATGCAGAGGCTCTATGAAATCGCACCAGAAGAGTTGGCCGGACGCTTTTTGAGCATTAGTAGCAATCCGGGCAGCCATGCTGCAGCACCACCGTTCGTTGACCTTGGCTGGTACGGCTACGCAAAGTTGGTTTTATGTTGGTTTCATCAACCTCGTGTTTCTGGCCGTTTCAGTGACCTGGTGGAAAGCAAAGCTACAGTATGGTCGCATGCCCGTTGTACACCAGAGAGTCCTGTTCTAGCGGTCAGCAGGCGGGTCGATGATTGACCAGAAGGATTGAAGCACTCTTACTTCACGCACGTCATCTCTAGCAATGACCGGCCCTCGATCAAGCCCCATGCTTCGGTACGGGCTTTATAATGTGATGTATGTATGTATCGCTCTGCTAGGTCTGCCGACGTTTGAGGATGAGCAGTTGCGGTCGGTCGAGGCTGACTTTGATGCCATCTTCGAGCAACTTTGTAATGCAGAAGGAGAACTATTACAGGATCGATCATCCTTGTAAACCAAGTTTCTCTTTCATGCTTCATGTGCCTGCTACAGAGGATTATGCTTCCTTAACCGGAGGTTTCCAAAACTTCTCCGGGTCACAGTGGGTCTCTAAACGTCGGGCTCGTTTCGGTTGCCCAGGTTCGATAGACTTCTCGAGTGACTCTTGCTGGCAGGGGTTAGGCAGATCAAGCTGTGTTTCTCTCTCTTCCGGTGTCCTGAAAATCAGGTTCGTGGCTACTGCCTGGCAGTCATATGTTTGAACCATCTCGTGTTGCGCTTATACTGCTCTTGCCTGGTAAGTGCGCACATGCGGCGGCAGTTTTCAGGAGCCCAATGAGCGCATCAGGGGCGTTGACTGCATCTCGTGCTTATTCCTCCTTACGAAGTTTTGCCTAGTTGCTGGGCCTTGTCTCTGCTGAAAGGGGCCACGAGCAGATTGACCTACGGCAGCAAAAGGCAATCAGAAGATATCTGGTTCCTTGGTTGAGCTTGCGGTTCACAAAGAACTAGCTAGTGGGGTTAGGATGTTTGGGTACAAGTACTTGTTTGCAAGCAGTTGGCTTTGTGGATTGCTCTCGATAGCTCAATACGAGCGTGGACATAGAGACGCTTGGCCGTAAAGGACCGAAAGAAAATAATTCTCATCTCCAGTCTCATTGTGTTGAATGTTGAGCCCAAAATATGTAATGTGTTTTAGACGCCAGATCGACCGAGCTGCAAGATAATTGTGCTCTGCATCTCTCAGCTTCGCAAAGCTTGCATAATTGATTTATCGGGTTGCCCGGTCTGGATTTCAAAAGTGGAGCTACATGGATACACCTCGTATCCTTTGTGGACGTGACCCTTAGTTTCGTCTTCGCTAAACGTGTCGATGCAAGCGGCTACATATGAGGTCATCCTCTGGACCGTGCTGTGGTCGCAGGCGATAGTCAGCCGCTTCGGATCTTGTCATGTTGCGTCGGGTTCATGTCTTTCTCATGCGACACCTGAGATACCTGACCCCTGCTCTGGTGGGTGTCAAGTACTGCACTTTGCGGGTCTCAGGATTGTTCTGCGAATGATTTCCAAGTCCACATCGTCCATCTTCTGGTGGTGCTATTTCAGATGTGATTCCGACCGGATATTCTGTATGATCTCTGACCCATTTGCAGTCAGGATTCTACCACCTCTAACTCTCGGGGAAATAGTGCGAGGCGCTAGCTATGTATATTACGTCAATCTCGTTTTGCTGGATGCAACGTAATCGGCTGATGCGACCAGCTGATGCGATGCCCTTTCACTCCTATCATGTTCTCTGAAGCAGTCACTTTTGGAAGCCACGAATCTGGAGACTCCATGCTTGGCCTGCCTTTTATCATTGCGCTTGTGTGCGGCTGCAAACCCAATTCTGTCTTTTGCGCATGTGGACTGCGAGTACTGTTGCGTCACTGATCTGGTCAACAAACGGAAGAGTTTCAAGTGGAGCGGGTGTGGC